TATTCGTACCCTACAGATCTAAAGGATGTTTTCATTTGTCCAGTACATATATGTAGAACGATTTAGATGGTGGCGGATATCCCGTTCGTTTCTCAGGCTACCAGAGTTCGCTTTGTTGCTATTATCCTTTCCTTATCTGTCTCTCTTTTTCTCTCTTCATTCTCCCTGATACGCACTTGCGTTCACTCGCGACACAAAGGTCCACACGTGTGGACGGGAGTCTCGGTTGAGAATGGAAAGTGAGTGTCGTACGGTGCCGATATAAAGCAGGGTTATATCGTACGGTTATGGGATGCTGGGTAGTTTTTATGGATGTACACACGAGGGCTGACTCCACTCCTGTGGCGAGCAGGGAGACCGAAACTTTCATCCCCATCGATACCCGAGGAGGAGAAACCGTCGCCGTTGACACCGCAGAGCACCGACTGCCACGCGGTAAAAAAAATAACCATTTATGGTTCTTTCCCCATAAATCGAACAACACCTGGACACCCCCTTGACTCGATGCACATTTCCCTAAAATAGATTTTACCCTCGCCGTCCCTCCATGAAAACCTTTCTTGGCCAGCGACCATTGCGGGATTTTACGACTGTGATTTTTTTATCCAATGGATTTGCCGTGATTTTCTCAAAAAACGCTAAATATACATTAGACAATTTTCATAAATTATTGGACCGACCAATACGCATCGGACAGCATCGAAAATCAAATTGGACCCGAAGCCAGAAAGATTTTTTTACCAGCATGGTTATCCACCCTTAGAAATCTATTAAGATTATCTTAGGACAAAAAGGAGACGGCGTCGCGACGTCCCGGCGACCGTCTACGTACGTGTATATACGCGCGTACCAACGAAATATTTCATATTTTTCCCTGTACGTAGCTCCTCAAAGAATGCAAAGCACGCGAAATAAAACAAGGGAGCGGGGCAGATAGTTGAAGGGGAAAAAGGGCAACAAAGAATCTCAGAGACAGTCGGGCACGCGCATTCGCGAATTCGAGGAATTTCAAGAAAAATTATTATTGCTACGCCTCTATTCTTTTTTCACGGTACATCAGGAACGCGCACACCTGCCTATAGGTACACAATCTGAACTAGTAGCGCCTGCACACGTGACCAGTTTTCATCGCAACGACGGAGATTCTGGGCTACGAGTCTCAGCCGCTAGCGCCATACACATAGACATACACATATCCATACACGTGTGTAGATGACTTTCCGCTATTTTATCCGTAGTCACCACCTTACTTCGCGAGATTGAACCTTTCAATTTTCAACGATATTCGCAATATCGCTCCAGCATTTTTGCATTTGACCGCATCGCGATGTGCATTTGAAAGTGAGAGAAAAAAAATTTAAGAACAGCAAACTATTTAACAATTACCATTAAAGCAGCATAAACCTTTTTCACGATTTTCAGTTATACATCGCGCAACATTTCACGTGATTCGAAGTTCAAGTTTCGTGCCGCCCATAACCTAAAAATGTAAGGTTACCGTAGCATAACCTACTACAGCACGCGTATATCCGCTGTTATAGATGCTACGTTAACACCAAGGTAAATTAATTACTAAACAATGCGGAGGTGTGCCGCAACGTGGATGCTGGCAAAAAGTTTAATTTGCGGGTTCACGACCGTCGGTCTTAAACGTTGCGTTCTAAAGTCTTCATTAAAGGTGTCTGGCTCGCTTCCGCTCGGCAGCGTACAACCGTAAGAGAGAACGAGTCCACAGCCTTCGTTCTCGTGGATAAAATTAACAAACGTCCGTATATCCACGGAGAATTTTAATTTCACTAAATTTCAAATACAGACATATATGTAACCACTGACGTAACACCAAAAAGAGATTTCGAAAAAAAAAAAAAACTTGTTCCCCACCTCATCACTAATAATTTCCCAGTACAAATAGCTCCACAGTATAAATATTCTAACCCCCCAAGATAACTGCGTCTCGCGTAAAAATCACTAAAAACGTTCAAGGTACATATGACCTATAAAAAGTGAACGTAACATTGCTAAATGACATTCGGGGTCTTCCCTACAGGCTTTAAGGAATAACGTACGAGGGGCCATTAGGCTGGGGTTTGTCGTTTTGCTTAAAAATCAACCCTGAGTCTTCCATACCCCCCCCCCCCCCCCCC